ATCAGGCGCCTTTTGGACATTATTTAGTCTCCTTCGGATACCGTCCATGATTGTGTTATCTCCCTTGATGCGGAGAAAGCATTTGATCGGGTTGAATGGGACTACTTTTATTGTTCTTGACAAAATTGGTTTTGGCCCTCATTTCAATACATGGGTGCAATTAATTTATTCACATCCCACTGCAACCATTCGTACCAACTCTCAGATATCGAAACCATTCAGTCTATATCGAGGAACTCGTCAGGGATGCCCACTGAGCCCTCTGCTCTTTGACCTGGCAATTGAACCTCTTGCCACTGCTTTGCGGTCCTGTGACACAATTTCAGGAATCTGGAGAGGTGATATGGAACATAAGGTCTCCCTTTATGCTGATGATCTTTTACTTTTTATCTCTCATTCGACTGACACATTGCCTTCCGTTCTATCATTGCTTAAGGAATTTGGAATAAATTCTGGCTACAAATTAAACCTAAGTAAAAGTGAAATTTTCCCTATTAATACCCTAGCACAGACTCTTGACTTCAGTAAATTGCCTTTTAAAATTGAGAAGATAAAATTCTCTTACCTGGGTGTTACAGTTACGAGGAGGTATAAAGATTAATATCAAGAAAATTTTGTCTCTCTGTTGAGTCAGACAAAGCAGGCATTATCCCGGTGGTAACTGCTTTCCACATCCCTCATAGGCCGTAGTAACTCAGTCAAGATGGTCACTTTACCTAAGTTTCTGTATCACTTTCAAACTATTCCTGTTTTTATCCCTGGTTCATTCTTTGTGCAGTTAGATTCCATAATTTCATCATATCTGTGGCAGGGAAAACGTTCACGCTTAAATAAGACATATCTCCAAAAAAAACAAGGCCGCAGGCGGTCTTGCCCTTCCAAATTTCCGTTTTTATTATTGGGCAGCAAACTTGCACTGTCTAGCATTCTGGTCATTCTATTACAACAGGCCTGACTGCCCGGACTGGGTAGCGATGGAGTCACAGTGCTCTGGGAAATGGTCCACCCTGGCTTTCTTGGGATCCCCATTCCCGCTTCCACCACTTACAACTGTTATAAACCCAGTTATAAAACACTCACTAAAAATCTGGGCACAATTTCACAAATGTTTTGATTTCTCTAGTTTCTCTCTCTATAGCCCTATCATGTCTAACCAACTCTTCAAACCCTCATCTCAGGACTCTGTTTTTAAAAAATGGCAGAGAAGGGGTATAGTACGCTTCAATGACTTATTCTTCAATAACATGCTAGCTTCATTTCAACAACTATGTGAAAAATTTAGCCTTCCCCAGTCCAATTTTTTAGGTATCTACAAATACGGCACTTTATTACTCTTTATCTGTCCACCCTCTCCATTTCAACAGATAGCAGTATTGTTGACACTATTCTTTCTTTAAACCCAAATAAAAAACATTCTATTTCATTAATTTATAGTAGACTATTGGATTTGAAGCGTGCTTCCTCAGATAAAATCAAAGCTGCTTGGGAAGGGGATCTTGGCTCCTCGATTTCAGAGGACTCCTGGACCTCCATACTCAGACTGGTGAGCTCCAGTTCTCTCTGTGCTAGACATTGTCTAATACAATTTAAAGTGGTACACAGAGCTCACATCTCTAAACTGAAATTGTCCTCTATGTATCCTGATGTTAGCCGGTACTGTGTGAGATGCAAACATGCTGAAGCCTCTCTCTCCCATATGTTTTGGTTTTGCTCATCTCTGAACAAATACTGGCAGGAAATCTTTCAGACTTTATCACGTGTACTAGATACATGTCTGAGCCCTGATCCACTGATTGCTCTGTTTGGTCTTGTAGAGGACATGACAAATCTAAATAAAAACCAACAGCACGTAATATCGTTCACCTCTCTCCTGGCCAGACAAGCCATTTTGCTCAGGTGGAAAGAACCGTCTCCACCCACTCACGCTCAGTGGTTGGCTGACATCATGTCCTGTTTAAAGCTGGAGAAAATCAGATTCACACTCCAACAGAAAGAGGGTAAATTTGAGAAAGTTTGGGGACCTTTCCTGAATCTATTCCAGTCTCTTTGATAACACAACTCATTCATGGTAATGCAGTCTCTTGGCTATTTTACTTTTTATTTATTTTTTTCCCTTTCTTTTTGGCAGTGATTGGGGAGGGATTATTTTCTTTTCTTTGGTGTGGATTATAATGTAGATGATGCAATTCAGATCGACTTAGTCTACTAATGTCTTCACTAATGGTTACATGCAAATGCTTCATTAACATCTTTGCTGTTTAATGTTTTTGTTTTTTGAAAAAATGAAAAATTCAATAAAAAAAGATCTGGAAAAAAAAAAAAAAGAAATTTGAAGCCATCCAGGCCTTAATGTCAACCAGACATTTTAACAGAGGGTGAATGGAGCAAACACTTGCTGGTTTCACAGGTAGGTAGATCTGACAGTCATCAGCATAACAATGGAATGAAAGACCATGTTTCCTCAGGATGGACCCCAATGGGAGCAAATAAAGTGAGAACAGAAGGGGTCCAAGAATCGAACCCTGTGGGACCCCACAAGAAAGAGGTAATGAGGCGGATACATTATTACCAACCTTGACACAAAAACTCCTGTCACTCAGGTATGAGCGGAACCATTCTAATGCAGCACCTGTAATCCCAACCCACTATTCCAGCCGTGGTATGAGGATACTGTGGTCAACAGTATCAAACGCAGCAGTAAGGTCCAGGAGCACAAGTACCACAAATTGACCAGAATCATTTGATATCATAATATCGTTACAAACCCTCACTAATGCTGTTTCAGTGCTGTGGAGTTGCTTAAAACCAGACTGAAAAATCTTAAAAATTATGTTCTCATTCAAAAACTTGTTTAATTGAATGAAAACTATTTTCTCCAGGATTTTGGACAGGAAGAGAAGTTTCAAGATTGGTCTGAAATTTGAGCAAGTTGAAGGGTCAAGTACAGGTTTCTTAATTAACGGATGAACTACTGCATGTTTGAAAACATCAGGAACCACACTTGTCACAATACTACTATTTACAATAGTAAGAACAGTTGAAGGTTGAAGAGTTAAATATCCAACAACTCTTGGCTGGAGCGAGGGATTTAGACTCATGAATAACAGAGGTTTCGAATGAAATGGGTTTGTGATCTGAAACAATAGCATCCCCAATTTCCAGATTAACCACAGATAAACTGTGAGACAGAACTAAATCAAGTGTATGGCCCTGTTGATGAGTTGGACCAACAATATTTTGCACAAGGTTGAAAGATTGGATCAAATTTAGAAACTCCTGCACTAAAGGCTTTTCAGGGCAGCAAACATGTACATTAAAGTCCCCTAGAATCAAGACACGGACGTAATTTGAGCAGTATTCCAGACAAAAAGTCCGAAAATTCGCTTATTAAGTTTTTGTTGTACGAGGGTGGTCTGTAGATCACGCTGCACAGTGTCGGGTTGGAGCAGCCCAGCTCAAAATACAGCAGTTCAAAACACTGAAAAGCTACAGCCTGTAGCTGTCTCTAGTTCCAGAGTTTAAAAAAAAAAACCTGTTAATAATCCATCACCCCTACAAGAAGCCCTTGGAGCATTAAAAAAAGGCACAATCCACCGGCAAAAATTCAGAAAAAACACAACTCACCAGGGACGAGCCAGGTCTCTGTAACAAACATGAAGTCCAATCCATTGGAGCAGAAAAAGTCGTTTGATTAATGTTTTATTTGCCAGCGACCTCGCATTCAGCAGAACAATCTTAGTAGGACCAGTATCTGAAGGAAAAGCTGAGCACGGAGCACAGATCAGCTGTTTTAGATTTTTGGAGTTTAAACCGCGCCTCCTAGGACCAGAGACGCAGCAGCTGTATGCGCGCCCGCGGAGCGGGCCAGTCTCGACTACAGGGATCTGGCAGGACCCAGCAGGATCAGCGAAGCACCCGTACAGGCGAATATCCAGTAGATGGTCGGTAGGAGATGATGCAGCAGACAGTCAGAAGTTGGTTAAGTTCCACTGGAGACGGCCAAAACCGCCGCGGCTGCACGCACCAGGCCCGGCCACCTGTAGCAGGCTGGAGTTGAGCGGGTCAGCGAAACATACGGATGAACAGTTTAACATCTGATGGTCAGCAGCAGATGACGAAGCAGCAGCCAGCTTGATGCTGGCTTTAATCCGCACGAGACGGTTGGCACGTATTCCACGGCGCCTGGAGCGATGTCTTCAGGTGGGCAGAAACGCCGCGTGCTGCAGGTAAACAGGGACATCAGCAAGCAGAGGGGGTGGGGGTCCAGAGCCCCGATCAAAGTGGTCGAACAAGGCGAGGTTTGCAGTAGATAACTGTATATTTAAAAGTTGTTGGCAATCATAAACAAGCAGTGAGTTGATGTCACCGAAGAAAAATGACAAAACCAGAAAAAAAACAATCAAAACAGACGAGAGGTGAACAGCAAGCTACCAACACCAGCGCCATCTTCCCGGAACAGCAGAAATTCCTTGAATTAAGGCTAAACCGTTGCGGCCCCTAGAAAGGCGAATACGCTGCTCCGGCCAACAGGCAATCGGGCCTCCGACGACGGTGAAAAGGTCCAAGGGCTGAAGCCCTGGATTGAACCATGCACGAGAAGAAAAAAGGAACAGAGCCGCGGATGACGCCAGGCTACATAGCCTCTGATTGATCATCCATGTCACAGTTGTGACTTCGTTGGTATTACTACTCGAACAGCGCATGCGCCAAGGGAACATTCAGTGCTTTCAGCACCGCCCTCTGGCAGTCGGGAGGGATGAAATAGAACTCCCTTTTAAAAGGAAGAAACCTCCAGCAGAACCAGGCTCAGGACAAGCGGTCATCTGCTTTGACCGGCTGGTTTGAGAGGAGAGGAAGGAGAGACAAACAAACACAGAATGGTAGGTCCAGAATGGACCATGATAGGGGGGCAAAAAGAGGTATGAGGGTTTACAACGAGACATTTAACTGCTGCAGAGGGTCAGCCATTATCAACCTATCCATTTGAAATGCTCCAGTACCTGAAGCCCTCTGAGACTTGGTTTCTCTGGGAATGATGGGTTCGTTCTCCTCCAGGTCGTTGTCTGACTTGGACTCATCATCAGACCAGGGATTTCTCTTCTTCACCTTCTTAACTGAAGCACCTTTGGGTGCAGGAGGTTTTCTTATCCTGGGAGCTCCTGTAAGGCAGCGATGAAGATGAAGATGAGTTATTCAGTAATGAATGAAAAGTTCTGCAATTTGTATGAAAACCACTAACCAGGCTCCTTCTTCTCTTTCTTCACCCGTGGAGCTTTAGGTTTGGATACAGAGTTTTCTCCAGTTGTTCCCTCCCCACCCACACCGTTATCTTCAAATTCCAGCTTTACAGCTAAGTTCGAGTCGCCCTGATGATGGAACAGGTTTAGTTTGGCATCACCAGAATTAAAACCAGAGTTAAAGTAAACCCACCTTCTTTTTTTTGGTCAGTTTTTTAGCTGCATCAGATTTGATTGGTTGCGTTGGAGGATCCACCCGGCGGCCAAATGGTGAAGGCAAGGTCTCCTCCAGGTTCATCTTCTTCACTTTAGGTTTACCGACTTTACCCTTCACCAATTTGACGGCCTTTCCTAAATTTAGCTCTTCTTTCTCCTGGGCCTCCACATTCTGTCAAATAAAACAGAAATAAAACTATGACTATCTTTTGAACTACAATTAGAAATAAAGGTGGTGAAAGCAGCCAACAAAAACTAGTTTATTAAAACCATGACACCAGGAAATAATGACTAATTGATGAACAATATCAGAACATTTGAATCCTTTCATTTTCTTACATGTGAGGCTCCAGGTCTCTTCAGCTCTCATCATCTGGACTGTTAAGATTTTTAAAGTATACTAGACTTTAGATCAGAAGTGCCACTGCCTCAGGGTTGTATCTCACTGGACTGACACTTTTGGAGACTCAAACTTATGAGAAAATGTGAATCTTCCATTAGAGTTTCACGAAATCCTGTTTCTGTGACCAAGGGGCCAGTGTGCCAAGGCACCTTGACCTGAACAGCCAGTTTTGGAAAACTGTGGCCTGCTTTTATGTGCACTGCTTGTAAAACTGTATTCATGCACAATACTTAGCTGCCCTCATATTTATTATTCAAACTGTTGAAGCACACTTTAGAAATGAAAATAGGCAGATTTGGCCCATTATTTTAGTAATTACATTTCACTGGTGTGATGTTTAGGTCTGTACATGTTTTCTGTCAGACAAGTGCTTCGTGCTGCTGCTGTTCCCTGTATTGTTTTTGTACTATTAGTGTTTAGTGTATTCTTAGTTTAGAGTCTTTCTTAGTTTATAACTTAGATCATATTACTGTTTTTCTTTACAATTTATACCTTTACTGGATGTAACTGGGATCCTGTGTACACAATTTCGTTCCACCACATGTACCACATATGATGCAAATGACAATAAAGAAACCTTGACGTTATGAAGGGGACAAACTACAGAAATTACACCTCTACAATAAAATAATAACTAAAAACTGCATATGTCGCATTACACGCCTGTCAACAAACTATCATATAAATGGACTGTACTTGTATAGAGCCTTTATATCTTATCAAGATATTCAAAGCTCTTTACAACAATCTGTGTCCTCATTTACCTCCATACACACATTCATACATCCCTCTACTACACACACACACACATTCACAGCACTCTACTACACACACATTCATACAACACTCTACTTGGGCTGAGTACCGAACAGAGGTTCTTTTATGGCACCGACCGAACTGCACCGGTCGGTGTAAGGATTGAAACGTCACTCTTCTTTCGGTGTCAAGTTTCGGTATTGGCTGTAATGTGTCACGTGGTTTCAGCACACTGGCAGGTAAAACACCAGACATATGACAAACAGACTACGTGTTTACACCCTGAGCTGTCATACCTAATCTATGTCTAATGTATGTCTATGGTGCTGGTGACGCCCACAGACGGGGTTCACGTGTGCAGCGCGTGTTGTCGAACGGCTTCAATTTATGAGCAGAAAGTTGTTCCGTGTTTTTCTGCAAGGAGAGAGGAGGACAGCAGCCTCCTCCCTCCTCCTCCTCCTCTCAGCATTAAAGGCAGCCTGTGAGTGTTAGAGAGCATGAACGTCCTGATTCATTATGTCCACGACCGGACTCTTCATCAAAGAACTCCGAGGACGGCTCTGTGTCTGTGTTTCAGTTGGTAAGTTTACGTTTGTTAACGTTACTGCAGCTTAACATGTACATTGCGGTGAATTAAACTATGATTCATGTAACGCTAACTTTTTAAGATATTAGTGTGTAAATTTATTTTATGGGTATCTACAGGTATGTAGCTAGCTAAAATCAGAAGCTAACTAAAGATTGACAGTAACAGATAAAGCTTAGCTTGTAAAAATGTGCTCATCCATCCAGTCAGCTGCTTAAACAGTTCCCTAATGTTCACTGTTTATGTTAATGTTCTCCTCACAGGAGCCTCTGACCCTGATGTGAGGACGACAAAAGAAACGCGAGGAAGGGGCCACAGGACAGTTACAAACTTTGTTAAAAGTTTGCTGCTTTTTCTACAGTGGAGCTGCATGGTGTTGGTAAGTAAACTGTAAAGGATTTTGTTGACCAGTTGAGCTTTTATCTCTCAGCCTAGATAATGTTTTTTGAGTAATAATAACAAAACCATGTTATTGTTGATGTTTTGTGTTCTAATGTCAATTAGGGAGATGATCAGAGCCCTAAACCCCAGAGAACCACAGAGAAGATTCAGGAAGAGACACAGAGGTACAGAAGTCTGCATCAACCCTAACCTCAGTGAATCCAGTGACCTGCTGATGGGATGTTGGGGACAATATGTCAGTGCTATCAAACTTGGCAACCAGGTATCTGTGTGTGCAACAATCATCATCTACAGCTTCAGAGTGAACATTTTCTACTGGTGGAGACACCATCAGCCAGGACCGGGCTTGTTTGTGTCCAGAGAAAGAAGACATGTTGACTTTGCTGAAGAAAAACTGTTAAGTGAAAAGGTCCTCAGTGTGTAGCACTGCTTGTAATTGTTTTTTTTAACTAGAAATTATTTGTTTATTTTTATGTAAGAAAACTGCTTAGAATAGAAAAATACCAAAGTTAAGAAAAGAAAACTCACGATTTGTACTGTAATGTGTAACGTAATTTAATTCTTGTTAGAATTAAAAGTAATTGCAAAATTGATACCGAAAAAAGAACCGTCCAGGAACCGACACCGAAGTGAAGGTACAGACACCGATTTTTTTTAGAAAGGTACCCAGCCCTACGCTCTACTACACACACATTCATACAACACTCTACTAAACACACTTTAATACAAAACTCTAATACACACACATTCATACAACACTATAATACACACACATTCACACAACACTCTACTACACACACATTTACAACACTCTACTACACACATTCATACAACACTCTACTACACACATTCATACAACACTACTACACACACATTCATACATCAATCTACTAAACACACATTCATACAACACTCTACTACACACACTTTTACAAAACTACTACACACACATTCATACAACACTCTACTACACACACATTCATACTACACTCTACTACACAGATTCATACAACACTCTACTACA